CGGCGTATACATTAACACTTTCTTGATATAACTTTGTTGCAAATAGCTCTATGCCTTTTGTCGAGGTGGTTTTATTTTGTTGGCAAAGTAGGAGAGTTTTGTTGGCAGAAGGAACACTGCAGTGTGTACACCTCCACTGTTTTGTCAATGAAACCTGACTTTTGCCGACAAAATTATGTAGTGTAGACAAGGCTTTACACTAAAAATCACAATATATTCAGGTTGCTTCTAGTCCCAAGAGATCAGTCACTTCCCCCAGATCAGCTGGTACCCTTGATCTTACACCAAAGACCATTCCTGTAGCCAATCCTATAATAAACTATCTAAAGGTTTATTAACTACAAAAATGAAATACGAGAGTTATTTACAGGTTAAAGCAAGCAAATATACACACAAATGAATTACCAGCTAAGATTCCTAAAGATGACAGAGATGTAATAATCTGTCAATTCAAAATGTCTTTTAGGGCAAATGCAGGGGTAGCCCCTGGCGATCCCTGCCTTCATTTAATGTCTCTGGCCTGTGAGAGTCCAAAGAGCAAAGAGATGACAAATCTTCTTGTGACTCTGTTTTTTCTTTTACATTTGGCTTACCAGTCCATGAGAAGAGCTTCCTTGCATGGGGCATTTCCAAGGTGTGATAGGGGCATTCACCAATCCTTTGTATTGTGATGTTTCTTAATGTCAAATTTAATCTTGCTAGGTCTCCTTAAAGGGGCGGGGGAAGGGGGAGGGGAGGAGGGAAGTTCCCATGCTTGGGTTTACACGTTCAGAGCAAACATTTTCAAAGTTATAAAGCAAAACTGACATATTTCCTTATAGCATGGAACACAAGTATTACAAGGGAGATTAATGCATGCTGCAATTTATAAGCATTTCATAGAGTCTAAGTATTAAATACATTCATATAAGACTAATATGTATTTTGAACAAAACTAATGTACATGTGAGCTGGTTTGTTTCCAGCTATGAGTTTGTCAGTGCTTAGCTAATGCCTACAGCATTGGTCAGAGCTGGCACTTGGTCTGCCAATGTCATAAAAGGTGGATGACCTTGTTAAAGATGTGTCTTTCATACTCTGCACCCTTGCAAAGCTGGATAGGGGTGTAAACCAGGGACCTCTTGGTGCCAACAGGCAGAGGGCACAGGGGGTGCAGAGGGTTTTGCAGAGATCCTCTGGGTCAGATATAGGAATTGTAGTTAACCGAAGGGTGGCATGTGAGGTCTCTACCAAGAGCCCATTGGTTGCCATAATCATTGCAAAATATATGTCCAGACACTAGTAGTTAAGTAGTTATATGTCTCTTCTGAAAATTGTGTTCTTAAGGATTTGGGATTAGGGTGGGTCACTAGGAGGTGATTTAGCTCAAGAATATTCCTTTCAAACAAGAGGTTACAGATACTTATTTCTCTGTCTGGTCATGGGTGCTTTGGGTATTGTATGTTTCACAATGGAGCCTGTTTGCCTACTCTGCCAAATGCTCATCAAAAGAAATCTTCAAGAGCAAAATTTTACAGAAAGGAATAAAGAGCAGGCAGGGGTCCTGTTTACAAGTAAAGACAATGAATTGTTGGGATATATCTGGGCGTGACCTACATTGGAAATGTTCCTTCCACTGGGGGAGTAACAGATACACATCTCTATCCAGATATTTGGGTATTCTATATTGTGTGCTCACACTATAGGCCTATTTGCATAGTGAGCCAGATGCTGTTTAAGAGATTTTGAAATCTACAAGAAAGGAAAATACAGGAAAAAACAACCAGTAGGAGGGTGTCTTCTTTAGGAATAAGGACAATGGATTGTCCTGATATATCTGTGTGGGAAGCAGACTGGCAGCATGTTTGCCTCAGGAACGAAGGATCACAGTCAACCTGGCTGTAAATTGCTGCAAGGATTTTTGGGTGAGCAATACTTAATTAGATAGGAGAGTACCTTGTTAATTGAGACTGGGCTCTAGAGTATGTGTTATGATTTTGTTTTAAATTAGGGCTCTCAATTGTAGTTAACTCAAGCAATTAATGCAAAACAAATTAACTAAATTAAAAAAATTAGTCACAATTAATGGCAGTTTTAATTGCACTGTTAAACAATAATAGAATACCAATTTAAATTTATCATAAATTGGATGTTTTCTATGTTTTAAAATATATTGATTTAAATTACAACACAGAATTCAAAGTGTACAGTGCTCACTTTATATTATTTTTATTACAAATATTTGCACTGTAACAAAGATAAACAAAAGAAATAGTATTTTTCAATTCCTTTCAAGTACTGGAGTGCAATCTCTTTATTGTCAAAATGCAACTTATAAATGTAGAATATTTTGTTACATAACTGCACTTAAAAACAAAACAATGTAAAACTTTAGAGCCTACAAGTCCACTAAGTCCTACTTCTTGTTCAGCCAATTGCTGAATGCTGCCCACTTCTTATTTACAATGTCACCTGAAAGTGAGAACAGGCATTTTCATGGCACTGTTGTAGCGGGCATTGCAAGGTATTTTTGTGCCAGATATGTTAAATATTTGTATGCCCCTTCATGCTTCGACTTGTAGATTGCAAATTGTACAGTGCAAATATTGGTAATAAAAATAATAATTAGGGCTGCCTAATTAATAACAGTTAATGCATGTGATTAACTCAAAAGAACTCAATACTTTTTTTAATGTGCATTAATTGCATACTAGGGTGCCGTGCTCAGGGGGTGCTGCTGCATGCCTCCAGGGCGGGGGTGCCCCTCCCCGCATCACCCTTCTCCACTGCTGCTCCTCCATCCCACCCATGGAGCCACCCCAGACCAAGCTACTCCAGACTAGGAACCTGGCTTCACTCTTCTTCACAGAGTGGAAGGGGTGGGGTGGGGGGCTGATGTCGGGGTTCCCCCTGCCCCCACCCATGTACCTGGTTACTGCTGAGCTGGGGTCGGGGAACAGGGGGAGCCTGTCTGCTGCTGCTGCTAGCTCAGGAATGAGTGTGGTCGACAGGAGCTGCTGTTGGCTGAAAAAGTGCTCAGGCTTCTGAGTGCTCTGCTTAAAGAGACAACGCTTCCCCAGCGCGCACACACACACACACACACACACACACTCTTCCCCCAAAGAGCAAAACTATTTAAATAAATGGTATTCTGTTATTGTTTAACAGTGCAATTAAAACTGTGATTAATCACAACTTTTTAAAATCTCGTGATTAATCACGATTAATGCTTTTTAGTCATTTGACAGCCCTATTTTAAATGTAACCATTTGTTTCCAATACTACTTGCTATGACTTGAATCTTGATTCTTTGTTAAATAAAAGTATACGGTGCTTGTTTTCAATATAAAAATAGCTAAGTGCCTTGTGTCAAGCAGCACAGTGACCTGAAGTGTAACGGCTAAACTGGTGTGCACTGTTTCTTTAGAAGCAGCGAATCCGTGAACACTACGAGTGTCCGGTGAACCAGGGGACGGACGCTCCAGGGAGATGCTTGCAGGGTTTGAGGGTTGGAATGAGCCAATCAGTAACGTGAAGTGAGACTGCAGGGCCTGCGGGGCCTAGAGGGCAGTGCTTGTGTTGCCTATGGCCAATGGAGTTGGGAGCTGGCCCAAGGCAGGCGCAGATATGGCTTCTCATGGTAAGGCACGTGGCAGTGAAGTGCTCACAACCCTGGGTACACCTGGGAAATATCACAGGAGGCCAGTGGCACAAGGGTGCAACTGTGCCAGGACCTCAGGACTTCTCTATCATGTGCCAGGCCTGTACTGGCCTCTGTAACCATTGAATAGGGGCATTGCCAGCAGATCAAGGGACGTGATTGTTCCCCTCTATTTGACATTGGTGAGGCCTCATCTGGAGTACTGTGTCCAGTTTTGGGCCCCACACTACAAGAAGGATGTGGAAAAATTGGAAAACATCCAGCGGAGGGCAAGAAAAATTATTAGGGGACTGGAACACATGACTTATGAGGAGAGGCTGAGGGAACTGGGATTGTTTAGTCTTGCAGAAGAGAAGAATGAGGGGGGATTTGATAGCAGCCTACAACTACCTGAAAGGTGGATCCAAAGAGGATGGCTCTAGACTGTTCTCAGTGGTAGCAGATGACAGAACGAGGAGTAATGGTCTCAAGTTGCAGTGGGGGAGGTTTATGTTGGATATTAGGAAAAACTTTTTCACTAGGAGGGTGGTGAAACACTGGAATGCGTTACCACGGGAGGTGGTAGAATCTCCTTCCTTAGAAGTTTTTAAGGTCAGGCTTGACAAAGCCCTGGCTGGGATGATTTAGTTGGGGATTGGTCCTGCTCTGGGCAGAGGGTTGGACTAGATGACCTCCTGAGGTCCCTTCCAACCCTGATATTCTATGATTCGATGATACTATGAATAGGGAGATCAAAAACTGTCCCCTTCTATCCCTTTGCCAGTGCAGGCATGAATCTGGCCGATTGAGCCAAACCTCTTCCAGCCTTAATTTCCAAATCTATACAATGTTTTTGTTGTTGTTTGTATTTCAGTCAATGGACAACAAGTACCACATTGTTCTGAGCTCTGTACAGATGCTGAGCAAACAGACCCAAAGAGCTTACAGCTCAGGGCCCTGATCCTGCAAACCCTTAACATTCTATTAATGGCAAAGGGCCCAAAGTAGATAAAATTATAGTCACGCTAAAGTCCTTACAGGATCTGGGTCTAGGTCATGACAAAATGCAATAGGAGAATGAGACAAATCAACCAAGGGTTGGAGAGGGAGGATGAGAGAACAGTAAACAACTCTTGGAGATTGTACCTCCTAGGATGGTTGAGAGACTTAATGGATATTGATTCCATTGCTGTGAGATGCCTGAATGAAAGAGAAAATGGAAGGTTTCAGACTCGTTTGTATTAAAGACCTGTGTGTGTCTCTGTCCCTCTCTGTCTGTTTCTCTGTCACAATTAAAACACAGTTATGTGAATTAAGAGTGGGGATGTTGTTATAAATATCACAACATAAAATCTCACTGATTTTATCTTTTTCCCTGTAGACACTCTGCCAGTTGAACTGGAGGAAAAAAAAGAGAATACTCTAGGATCACACAGACAGGGTGAGATTTCAAGGTGGAGATTATTTTTCAGTTATGAGAAAATTCCCATGAAAATGTTTTCTTGAACTTGTAGCTAAGCCAATGCTGACCATGACACAACCAGTCCTAAAAATAAAAACATTACTAAGACGTGCCCAAGTTGAAGTCAGACAAACAATCCAACACCAACCTTAACGCTGAGTTCATGCCCACAGCAATGAACAGAAACATTCTCACTATCATCCAAACACCCTTAACTCTGACCCTGGGATTTTCATAGATATCCATACACATTATATATATTAAATTCATAGGAATGAGTGGACAGGCCACTCACCTCAGGGCTGATCTCTGGCTCTAATACTCTGCTTCCCTCTCTCCTCAGTGAATGTGACTCTGGATCCAGACACGGCTCATCCCCAACTCCTCCTCTCTGAGGGTCAGAAAAGTGTCAGACGGGGAGACAAATGGCACAGACTGCCCAACAATCCCAAGAGATTTGATACCCTGGAGTGCGTGCTGGGCTGTGAGGGATTCACATCTGGGAGATACTACTGGGAGGTGGAGGTGGGAGGTGAAATAATCTGGGCTGTGGGGGTTGCCAGAGAGTCTGTGAGGAGGAAGGGATTGTTCTGCTTTAACCCTGAGTGGGGGATCTGGGCTATGGAGCAGTGGTGGGGTGAGTTCCAGGCTCTCACCTCCCCTAAAACTCCTCTGCCCCTGAGCTGGGTCCCCAGGAGGATCCGGGTTTGTCTGGACTATGAACAGGGGCTGGTGACATTTCTGGATGCTGATAATGATGCCCCAATCTTCACTTTCCCACCGGCTTCCTTCAGTGGGGAGAGAATCCACCCCTGGCTTTGGGTTCAGAGTGAACAATCACAGCTCAGACTGTGTCCCTGACACTTGGGGAAAACATCCCTTCTAAAGACCCTGAAATCAACTTCTCTAGCCTCAGACACCCTAATTTCTATGACCCTGGAGAACGCTTATCTTCCTGAAAGCCTTCTACCATACAATCAGTTTGTATGACCATAAGGCTTGATGGGGCCTCTGAATTGTTAAAGTATAAAGACCAAGATGCTACTGAAATGGAGAAACCAACCGCATTGATCCAAGAATTGTGCAACCTGTTTGTCACTGGCCTGTGTGATCCTTGAGGAGTGTAGCTGACTGTAGGGGTCAGAGACTGTCAGATAGGAGCTCAGAGAGTGGGAGAATGAAAGTGAAAGAAAGTGACAAGGAGAGACATGAGCCAGGGTGACAGAGGGACTGGGAGATGCTACTGAACGTGATGGTGTCATTCATTACGTAATCCATCTATTTAATTCACTGGTTCATGAAAAGTGGAGCCATTTTAATGCCTTGGAAAAGTGATTTCTGCAAATGTTGCACTTTTTCTCTGTTCTGACCTTACATAATCACTCCCTAAGTGATTGAAGCCCTCATTTTTTTGTTAACTGAACCTTTTTAATAAATATAAAGCTTTTTTCTGCTTGGTGTTTTCCACTCTTTTGAGGGAGCGAGGAGGTGCAGAAGATTTGATTCACCACTGACCAAAACACAAGTTAAGAGTAAGGTGGGGTACACTCTATGGGGGGGCAAGTTGACTGGTTTAATCAAGGGGCTGTAGAGCTGCCACCCTCCATAAAATGACCTGCTTATGAACTTGGAAGTGCATTGAAACCCATGTGGATATATATCTTCCTTCTAAACATGGTACTCTTTAAAAGAGTCTGAAATAGAGCTTGTGAGGCTATTTTGGGGTTATTTGGTCAAGGGGTTCCCAAAACATACCCCCAAATACTCTGCTTTTATCATTTTCAGATTTTTATAACACTTTGTTTTAGAATTAGGTATAGCAGATTTAAATTAAAGCTCAGGAAAAACTTGCTAACTGTAAGAACAGTAGGACAATGGAACAGTGTCTAGGAAAGTTGTTTCAGAGTAACACCCGTGTTACTCTGTGTTAGTCTGTATTCGCAAAAAGAAAAGGAGGACTTGTGGCACCTCAGAGACTAACCAATTTATTTGAGCATAAGCTTTCGTGAGCTACAGCTCACTTCATTTGATGCATACTGTGGAAACTGCAGAAGACATTATATACACAGAGACCATGAAACAATACCTCCTCCCACCCCACTCTCCTGCTGGTAATAGCTTATCTCCTTATAATGACAGGTTTCAGAGTAACAGCCGTGTTAGTCTGTATTTGCAAAAAGAAAAGGAGTACTTGTGGCACTTAGAGCTACAATGTGTATGAAATCAAGGTGGGCCACAACAAAATTTTTCCCCCCGGGGGGGGGTGTGGGAAAAACTGATTTGTGTGGATAGCCCATTATTCACATTGTAGGAAGAGTTGTCACTTTGGATGAGCTATTACCAGCAGGAGAGTGAGTTTGTGTGTGTATGGGGGTGGGGGGTGAGAAAACTGGATTTGTGCTGGAAATGGCCCACCTTGATTATCATACACATTGTAAGGAGAGCGGTCACTTTGGATAAGCTATTACCAGCAGGAGAGTGAGTTTGTGTGGGGGGGGCGGGGCGGAGGGTGAGAAAACCTGGATTTGTGCTGGAAATGGCCCAACTTGATTATCATACACATTGTAAGGAGAGTGATCACTTTAAATAAGCTATTACCAGCAGGAGAGTGGGGTGGGAGGAGGTATTGTTTCATGGTCTCTGTGTATATAATGTCTTCTGCAGTTTCCACAGTATGGAACTGATGAAGTGGCTGAGCTCAGGAAACCATAAATTGGTTAGTCTCTGAGGTGCCACAAGTACTCCTTTTCTTTTTAGGAAAGTTGTGGAAGCTCCTTCACTGGAGGTTTTCAAAAGGAGGCTGGATAGCTGTCTGTCTTGGATGGTTTAGACACAACAAATCCTGAATCTTGGCAGGGAGTTAGCGTGGATGACCCTTTTGGTCCCTCCTAACCCTGTGATTCCCTGAAACAAATCTAGGTTTCTGACCGTCCAAAAATGTGTCCTATTGGACTGCCCCTGAGATCAGCTTTTCAATGGCATGAAAGACCAGTTTAGGAATATCTCAGAATGTAGTGAGCTGCCAAAGTTTTAGTATCTATGTGAGCAAATGTTTCCTCAGAAACTCCTTTGTCAAGAACACCCATGGCACCATGTACTGATTTGAAGGAATAGGCAGTGTTCTTTGAGCTCAGGGACAAGGAGTTCATTCCTCTGCTCAGGTGATTTGCATGCTGTGCATATTGGCACTCTCAGCTTGCCTTTCTGCTTGGTGTGCGGGTGGCACAGATGACAGTGAGCCACCCCATAGGACAGCTGGGAGGGGAATCTGCTGCTCTGGCTCGTGGGGTATTTCACGGTTACAGAGCCTGAACAGAGTCCAGCCTGTACTCTAATCTCCTAGCACACTCTTGGGGTGAAGACCTATTGTCTAATACCTCCTCTTGAGAATGGGGACCCAGTGTCTGACTGCCTAGACTCTCTGGGTGCAGTGCTGACACCTCAGCCTGCCTCATGCTTAAACGCGCCCTTTCCCAGACCCCACCCAAAAGGTTTGAGGCTCCTGGGTTACAGTTTAACTCTCAGGGGCACACCGTAGTGGTGTTCCTGCAACAGATCAGGATTCCTGTGTCACCCAGTGGTGCCCTGCTCTCACTCTGGGCTGTGGAGTGCATACAGAGAAAGGCCAACAAATACTTTATTTATTTAATGGTTATGGGTAGACAGCTTAGAAAGATGAAGTCCGACAGAGGAGCAAGAAGGTCAGAGGTGCTGGGATCTTACAGAGAAATCGACAACAGCTAGGAAATGTTACACTGGACAATGCTTTCCTACCACATTACTCTGGGCAGCCTCCTCTATGGGAACTGTAGTGTGAGCTCTGTGCTGCTTGGATCTGTCACAAATCTCACAGTTGGGATCTGATTCTTCTCACAGAGCAGTTTGAAATCTCGCCCTTGACTCACACACTCTCCCTTCTGGCTCTTCTTGCTTTTGTAAACATGAGTTCTTCCCTCAGGGCTCCTATTACTCCAGGCCTTGCCTGGAGCTGGTAGCAGGGGCATGGTCAGATAAAGGGCATGGCTCAGATGCCACACTGTGCCAGCTCCTGGTGCTGGTTTGGCCAGAAGTTCCTTTGCCCAGCAGTGTCATTGCAATGAGGATGGGAGAAGTCTCGTTCTGATTCCTCTCCCCAGGACTTGGTGATTCAGGCTCAGCTCAAATGGTGCTCACAGTCTGTAGACACCAGATCCTTGGAAGCAGCTTCCACTTGGAGATTTTTGACTGAGCTTAGAACATACCCTGGGATCTCTCTGCAGAGTGGAAAGAATTTCACTCTCCAGAGCCAGTAATGGAGCAGCAATTAGGCAGGTCCCCTCCTGCCACAGGCTTGTTGTTACTCAGCTGGAATCCCCAGACAGCTGTCCTGAGAACCTGGTCCCTCTGGCATTGTGCAGGAGCAGATTTAAAGAGACATACCCTGGGAGCCAAAGATCCAGGATGGTGCAGCCTGGACTTTGTGCAGTAACAGGATGGGAATCATAGAATATCAGGGTTGGAAGGGTGTTCCCCATCCCCCCAAAAAACCCCCAAAAAAAAAATTCTCCCCCCCCCCTCTGCAACAGAGTATATAAAAACTGTAAAGTTTCTAACCTGAAGGTTTCTGCCTTTTCTTTTCTCCTTCCAGCTATTCCTTTTCTTTCCTCTCACTTGATTTCACCTTCACCCTTTGCCTTGCTTCTTTCTTTCTACTGTATCCCCTTCCCTTATTATTTCAAATCTTCCATTCTCCTGCTCTTTCCTCTCCCCAGCTCCCCCCCCCCCCCCCCCCCCCCTCCTCCACCCCCCCGGGGGGCCCGGGGCAAACAACGGCAGAGACCGGGAGGGGGCCCCCTGGGGGGGGCCTCAGAGGATCGTTCTTTGGACCATCACCTCTTCTTGATAGGGACGAATGGCAGGCAGCAGCTGCGGAAAAGGGGGGGGTGTGCCAAAATGGCTCCAGCTCTTTTGGGAGTAAAGGGGCATACGAGGAGACAAAGGACTCCCCTTTTTTGGTGGGCCATCTGGCGGCCGGGGCCCCATCAACCAGGCAACAAAAATGATGGGGGGGGGGTGAGGGAGACTGGGTTTTTTGCTCTAGACCTCTCAAGAAAATGGAATGAGATGGTTCATTGCAGTGGGGGGGTTTAGTTGGATATTGGGAAACTTTTTCACTAGAGGGTGGTGAAACCTGGAGCGTTACCTAGGGAGGTGGAGCAATCAGCCAGTAGGTCAGGAACTGACAATAGTGACAAAGGAACACAAAGGATCAAAAGCTAAACCCCTCTCAGTGGCTGAAAGTTCATCTGGTGGCAGGTCACGGGCCACTGTGGAAGGTGCTGGAATCTCAGCCTGGTCCCTAGTGGGGCAGGTGTCACCATCATACACAGATATAACTAGCAGGGCCTGCACTGACTGGTTCCCTTTGTCATCGGTCTCAGCAGCAGAGGCCAACGACTCAATGGCTAGTGGAATCAGAACTTTCATCTCAGCTTTAGAGAGAGATTTTCCCCAGGTCAGGGTTGAAGTCCAATGGCTGTGGGCAGCGTGCATGAGAGGAGCTGGTTAGAGGGCTCCTGCACTGCACAGTGTGTGGGATAAACAGATACGTCCAATCCACTAGGCTCTCAGGACACTTGTCTGTTCCAGCTGCAAGATGGTGATCTGGGAACAGACTGAGGAGACCTGATAGTGTCTGGGGAGCAGCCACCTGGGACTAGGAATGGAAACTCAACTGTGGTGGGAAAGGAGCAATGACTAGACATGCTACTGCAGATATACTTAGTTCAACTGGGTACAATGCTGTTGACTGAAGTTATGCCAACAATCAAAAACCAGTATAATTACATCACTTGTGCATGTTCACAGAATGCTTCTTCCGTCAGCAGAGCGCGTCCACACTTAGTGCTCAACAGTAAGAGCAGTGCACTGTGCGTGCCTATCCCACTGTGCTACTCAGCACCTTCTGCAGCTAGGAGTTGTGGGAACACAGAGTGGATCGCAGCATGTCATGAGTGCAGGCTCAACGTCCCATGATGCAGTTTTTCCCATCCTATCATTCCATGGGCTTCCAACTGTGTTTCATGGCATTTTTCAATGGTCCCTGTTTACTGTGTGCCTGCCATCTCTCTCTGAAAGGATGGATCCTGCACTGCTCTCTACTGTTGTGGTCACTGTTATAAACACATCATGGATGGTCATGTAGCATATCATGGACTCCCAATCTGGACGGGAATCAGAGTTCCCTGACCTGCTGTGTGCCATGGAAAGGAACAACACAAGATTACTTTTAGCATTCATGGAGCAGCTGCATATGGTGGATCATCGCTTCTGGGCTCGGGAAACAAGCACTGAGTGGTGGGATCATATTATGTAGGTTTGGGATGATAGGCAGTGGCTGCAGAACTTTTGGATGTGGAAATATGGCCAGTTGGTGAAGCTTCCCCTAGGGGAATCTATCCCCCTGTCCCGCCCC